GTAGAGAGATTTGGGAGTGGTTGACTACTAGAAATAGAGGTAGGAGAAGGGTCAGGGAGAAGAAAAGGAGGAGATTAGAAGGCTACAACATCACCTTTGAGCAGGATACAGCCGGAGTACCACCTGTTGTCTGATACAGCCCTAGCAAGAGGGAAAATGACTCCACACAAGAGATCTGAAGACATCACAACTAGAACTGCCTCTTACACATTGAAAACAACAATTTCTAGACTCCTACTAAAGCAAAATAGGAAATAAATAAAAAGAAAAATTCTCACACAAAAGTAAGGGGTGGAGAAGCATGAAGAATAAAAAAAATAGCTTTGAAAACTTCCTATATGATGAACGACACTAAAGGAAGGCGTCATTTCTTGTCAATTCACGATCCGTCTTCTCGCTCCTCTCGCGATCGCGAGAATTTGCGATCTTTCACGGGGTTTGGTCCCCGAGTTCCCTTAACACCGGTGCCTGGTCGAATTTGCGATCCCTACTTCAATTCCTACCTTTGTGATCCTTTGTTGATTTAGTCCCCACGTTCCCTTAGCTCTTGTGTCAAAGCGCTAAACATCGTTCACGTCAAGGAGTGTGTTGTCTTGCATGGGGGACAACAAGGGGGGACTGCATGGATAACATGATAGGATGCATTCTAGGTGGCAGCAAGTCAAAATGATGGTGAATGATGGTTGGACAACAGGAAAACAACAAATTTGCAATTTTTCGGATGGCGACGTGAGGATCAGTGGCTGAAAGGGATGATAAAAGGTGGAAGAGGTGGTGGTTGGTGGTTAGAGTTGCAGGAAGGAGCTGGAATGTTGTCTGGTGTTTCCGACAGAGAGGAAATGTGACGACAATGACAGTGTGGGGAGGAATGCAGAGGATGGAAAAGTTGAAGATAAATTAATTTGTGAGAACAAGCTACAGCCGAAACACCACTTGATCCCTTGGAAGGAGATCACCACCTCAAACAACTTACAACCTGAGCACCACTTGACTTTTGGTACAACCCTAGAAGGGAGAAGGGAGAAAGAAGATGTTGAAGGTTGTCCTAAACAAAAACATGACAAACTGCTGAAAATAATCACATATATAAGGTCTAGATAACTACGATTGGATCCCTCAATAGAAAGGATTGCCAATCTCTTGTGGAAGAGCTTATCTACCCTCTCGAGTCTAGATTGGTTCGGTCCAAACAAAGGAACTCGCGGAAGATAGTCGCTCCTTTTATGCTGCTCCCATGTCTTCACGGGGTGCGCCCCTCAGTCTCTTGGGGTCGAGAAAGCTTTAATCTCATTCGTTGAAGCTTCTGTTTGTTGTCGATGATAGAGCTACTCTAACCCCCCTCGTCTGAGGATGAAGGATATTTGGTTGTGATAATAGAAGCACTTGGATTGCACTGACGATTGTATTGTCTCCCAAAACTTTTGAGGAGCTTTCCCCCTTTGAGAGAAACGATTCATATCAGTCCAACTATTGGGGAGCACTCTGTTGAGTTGAACAGGAATTCCATGGAAGTGTTTTATGTTAAATTCTTCAAAAGCAACCAAGGTTGGTTCAACCCTCATGTAAGGTGAGGATAATATGAATCTCCCTGAGTGGTGGCAGCTAGGGTGGTAAACTGTTGATCAGGATGTCTTGAAACTTTCTCTGCGCTGGTTGTCTTGTGTCTTCTATCGGCTCCTCTCTCGTGGTTCTCTGTAATCACTAGGACTGATCCTCCAAATGCTTTTCTGCTAGCAAGGGCACTTGTAATATCGAACTCCACAAAAGGTAGAAGGACTATGCGCTTGCCATCTTTGGTGAATAAATAGGTGTTCTTATGCCAATCATGTTGAGTTTTGCAATCATACCTTCATGGTCTCTCCAACAAAAGATGACAGGCAACCATATGCACCACATAGCACCAAACCCGATCCTACAGTTGATTCTCAATTGACCTCCTGTCAATGCTGATATTTTTCTCCTTCAACAATGTTAGGGAATATGATTGGCGATGTCTCTGAGTCGTGATGCTCAATTTGTCCACTTTTACTCTTGACGTCATATTTTTGCCGCTACTTCCATGGATGATGATGATGCATATCTTTACCTTCATGGTGTAACGAGTGTAGAATATTTTATTATGAAGTCATTCTTGCTTTATCGACGCCTTTGTTTGATCGACTTGTCGAACCACAATCTTCTCGCATTCATCTGGTGGATGCCAGTACTCCTCACTCTTTTCTTTTGTTGCTCGACTAGTCCAACAACTGAAGGTGATGTACCCAAATGCATAGCATCTGAAGTATTATTTGGTTGGGATTGTAGTGGATGTGCTACTCTTCTCAGACTTTTTCTTACTCTGAGTGGCTTTGTAGTGGATGTGCTACTTGTTGACCTCATTTTTGTGAGGTCTTTTCTTCTTCTATCATTATCCTGAATAGTTTTCTCAACTCCTTGAGGCGTGCTCTTGCTGATGTCTCTAATTGCGGGTGGCTATCTGAATGGCGATGTTTGCCTACTCTGCTTTTGTTTTCTCTCAACTTTTTGTGCCAAAGTCCTCACGTCCCTCAATACTCAATAGGGTTGCAGTTGGACCACATTATTGATGACAGACTAGGCCTTCCAAATACCTGGCTATGGTGGCTCCAATGGCTCTCTCAAATCATATTTTAGCTTGGGCTTCATAAACTCCTCTGTGTACTCCTCCACCAATAGCTCATTCTACGACATATAGTGAAGCATCAAAAAAATATCCTAGCGGTAGTGTGGGAATGGTTACTGTTGTTGCACCGCCTTCTTTCTTTCTCCCAAGAAGTGATTCTGTCACTTCTTTCTCTCTGTCTCTCCCTCTTAAGGTTCTCCTACCACAAAGTAGCATTCTAGTAGCGAGCTTCAGTCTTCTGTCATCGAGCACCTCCTGTATTCAAAGACTCTCTCAACTGTGTGCATCCATTTGAGGAAATCATTCGCGAATCCATTCTCCCCTCAAAGTTCGATAGATTCACCTTTATTCCTAGTTCTCTCTACCTTGCAATAGGCATGCCATCTTTGTATCCTCTAACGTGTATCTCATATTTGTATCCTCCAACAAACGCTTCAGCTTTGTATCCTTTAACAGACATCTCAATTGTTTATCTTTCAGCAGACATCTCATTTTTAAATCGTCCATAGGCACTTTAGCTATAGGCCTCAGCTGATGTTGTACCCCAAAGCTTTGTAGCTTGTCTTCTTCTCCATTGGAATCATCCCAATATAAGGGATTCAAGTGTTCTTCTTGTTTTCATTCACAGATTTCACTATTTCGGTCGACGGTGATCCTGCCCTGGGTTCTTTCCTCAATGGCATTGAGCTGATGTAGCACTTGGCGAAGTAGTCGTTGTATGTCGTCTATGATACATTACTAATAAAATTCTAGAAATTATCTCCTCGGGGGCGTGGTTAGGGTTTTGGGTATATGTATATGGAAGGAGGTGTGTAGGGTGGAGGGTAAATAAAATTTTTGGTGGAGTGACGTGTGGGGATGCTACAAACTCTAGGATAGAATTTGGGTAAGGTTAGCTCTGATACCAAAAAATACCGAAGTTAAGTTAAATCATAGTAGGAAAATCAAATATTATTTCTGAAAGCAAATGAGCGTTTACAATCAAAACACACTTGAAAGGGAAATTGCAAAAGACATGACGCAAACTCTTATTGGGGCTCGATCCATTGGGGTTGGAGGTCGGCTAGGTGATTGTGGAGCGGAGGAAAGTGGCTGAAATGGGTTATATGTCTTTGGGACAACAAAGGAAGGGGTTGGAATTGCACTGACGACGAAGTGGAGGGTTGGGACAGCAAGGGCCAGCAAAGGAGAAGGGTTGTGGGCTCCATAACAACTAGAGGAATGTTGTCCAGTGTGAGGGAAACTAGCGTGGAATGTAGGGGCAACAGGGTTTGCAACAACAAGTCATAATGATAGTTGGATGGCAGGAAAACTACAAATTTGTTGTTTTTCTGATGAAGACAACGAGGATCGATGACTGGAAGCGATGACAACAAGTGGAGGAGGGGGTGACTATAATGTTTTCTGGTTGTTCTGACAATGATGAAAGGCGGCGGGGACAATGAGGGGAGGAATGTGGATGTTGGAAAAGTCGGAGGTAAATACATACGCGAGAATGAACTACAGCTGGAGCACCTCTCGATCCCTTGGAAGGAGATCGCCATCTCGAACAAGCTACAGCTCGAGCACCACCCATGTTTGGATACAATATTAGAAGGGAGAAAAAACACCGACGGTTTTCCTGAACAGAAACACGAGAAAACGGTTGAACCTAAAATACTAAAATTGTATATATAAGCACTATATAACTACGATTGGATCCCCCTATGGAAATGAGGCACCAATTCCTTGTGGAAGAGTCGATTGACCCTCCTAGATTTGGACCGGTTCGATCCTGATGAAGGAACTTGCGAGAGATAGCTGCAGCTCCCTTTACGCCGCTCCCACTGCTTCACAGGTGCACCTTCGCCAATTGCTTTCTTGACAAATGCATCCCAAGCTACAAAATCATTCACCCTTCCCTTCATCTGGTTATAGTGATTTCTTGATCTACCATAAAGTGGCATAATGAAGAACCAATAAATTGTTGGGACATTTACATAAATTACACACAATTCTTTTATACAATTTCCATTTTTATATGCATAGTACTTGTATCATTAACATTACATTCTAATCAACACTATTACTAATTTTTTAAAAGTCAAATTGACCTTTTCATGCATGAGTTATATATGTAAATATAAAACTCTAGGTGTTAGACATGTAAATTAATTATGTGGTATGCAAGTAAAATTCTCTAAAATGTTTTATCAAATAATTCCGTAATCACCTGTTGCTCTTAGGTATGTGTGCATCATTTGGGTTTTCTATCCATGCAATAATTTTTTGCTAATGTATGTTAAACATGATGTATTAAGGCCCCTCTAAACTGTTGTCAACTATGTTCTGTGGCCACATTATTTAACTACATGGTTAGGTTGATTTGACAGAGGGTCGATATTTGCTATCGGGTTCATCGGATGCATCGGTTGCCATTTATGATATTCAACAAGCTTCAGATTATGATGAATATGGCCTCATTGCGAAACACAGGAGCATAGTACTCGTTGATAAGCAACACGAACATGGACATAAATTTTCAATATCATCTGCTATTTGGTATCCAATAGACACTGGATTGTTTATCACTGGCTCTTATGATCATGATATCAAAGTGTGGGATACAAATACTTCCCAAGTAAGCTTTTATTTTGTATTGTGCAGTTTGTCTACTTTGATGAATTGGATCCCAATTTTATTATGAGAAAAGCCCTGACTATTTGCAGGGGGTCATTTTAGTCCCAGAGTCTATAAAAGTGTTATTTTATTTTCAATTTCTTTTAATGAAGGCTAAAATACTCCTTTTTGGGGGCTATGTTTGCCCATATTTAAAGAGTTTGTGGACTAATTTGACATTTTTATATACTCTAGGGCTGAAATAGAGCCATGTAAGGGATTATTTTGATCCCTTACTCAATTTATTATAAATTAATTTAGGGACATTTTTACACATAGGAAGGGGATTATTTTGATCCCTTAATTTATTATAAATTAATTTAGGGACATTTTTACACATCCACTCAATTCCTATGTATTTACATATCCGAAATACCTAAAATTTACTTTTTACATTTATACCACTCAAATCTTACTCAATTTATTATAAATTAATTTTAGGGATATTTTCACACATACCACTCAATTCCTATGTATTTACATATCTGAAATACCTAAAATTTAATTTTTACATTTATACATTTTTACATTTATACCACTCAACACTCAAATCTTTCATATCACATCAAAATATCAACATTTTAACTTTTGAAAAGTTAAACAATCCTTTTCATTTATAGTAAGGTGACATGTCTGTAAAAATTGAAGTGTAGATGTTAGATATGTAAATGTATAAAATTGAGTAATATGTATGTTAATCTTCTTTGATTTTATCAGGCAATCATGGAATATAAAATGCCTGGAAAAGTTTATGGCACTGCCATGTCCTCCATTGCATCAACCCACATGCTCATTGCTGCTGGGAGTGCAGACGTTCAAGTTCGTTTATGTGATATTGCTTCCGGAGCATTCACTCATACGTTGTCAGGGCATCATGGTAAATATATTTTTTTATAGGGTTACTTTTGCTTGGATACATTTTTCTATGCTATAGCATCATCTTACATGAAATGACCAGTTTTTTAGGCTTTGTTTTTTTAGGTCTCTCCTTATAGAAAAACTTGTTAAAAAACTGTTGTTACGAAAGCCACTTTTTAAAGTTGATAGAAGTTTAAGGGCTTTTTCGGGATCACTTTTGTTTTTGTATTTTTGCGTTTATTTTTAAAACATTTTTGTTTTATGCACTTTTTGCATGTTTTTATTTTTTTGTTTTAAAAACAAACTAGCTTGTTTCCCATGACACTCCCAACTGTATATCTCTCCTGAGATGGTGATTATCTTCTCGATCCCCTTCCACATCTTCCCCACGACCCGGCTATACTCCATCGCTGGAGCCGACCCAAATAGCACTCATTTGTTGTTTTTCACTGCAGTCTTCCCATTCCAACACTTATAGCTTGCTGCCACTCCCGGAGAGCCACCTCTTACAGTCCTGCAGTCCCCATTGTACCCCTTCGCTGCCGTCACCTAGGAAAACAACCTGGAAAACAGCATCCTGCTGTCCCCAGGCAGTTCCAACCCTTTCCACCACACCTTGTCCCTCTGCTTGCCAACCCAATTATTGCCCTCACTATCCCGATGCTTCGCTTTGTTGCCCACGCCATTCTAGCCATTCCTTTTGCTGTCCCAACCACCCCAAAACCATTTTAGTCTCCTACCTCCGTTCCCCAACCACTTAGCCAACCTCTATTACCTATAGATCGAGCCCTAGTGTGAGTTTGTGTTGTGTTTGTTGTAACATTCATTTCAAGTGTGCTTGATTGTAACCGTCTATTTGTTTTCAGTAATAAATTTGTTTTTTCTATTATGATTTAGGTTAACTCTGGCATCACCCTGCCTCCTTGTGATTTTAATCACAACTTATTTGAACAAAAATTTGTAAGAACAGATTTTGATGCAACTAATTATGAAGATTTTTGTTTTAATCGGAAAAACTCTGTTATCGAGAACTAAAGATATCCTTGTGGCACATTTTAGAAGTGACTTTGGACCTCCTTAATGTCGGAAACACTTCCAGAGTGGATTTCAAACCTATCAATATAAACATTGTAACATGTATTGTCATGTTGCAACATCATTCGTTTTCTTATGAATTTACTTGTTTATCACCTAAATTTTGTCTTTTACATTTCTACCACCCAAATCTTTCATATCACATAAAAATACCCCCATTTTAACGTTTAAATAGTGAAATACACTTTTTATGCATAGGTAAAGGGTATGTAAAATTGAAGTTTAGGTGCTGGATATGTAAATACTCAGGGAATTGAGTGCCATGTCTGTAAATTATTCTAATTTTTGTATTGTTTACATTGCAGATGGAGTAATGACTCTAAAATGGTCATCTTCTAGTGAATGGGTTTTGATGACTGGAGGGTGTGATGGAGCCATACGATTTTGGGACATAAGACGCGCAGGATGTTTCCTTGTTTTAGATCAATTGCGGTCTCAGCTTGGGAGGAGACCGCCTCTATCTGAGAATTCATTGAAGAAAGTACGCTATGTCATTTTTTCAGATAAATGCCCTTTATTCCAACTATCCTTTTGATTTTCTGAAACATTAGTAGAAGTTGTAATTCACATCTATTCATGTTAATGCATTTTTCTAATTTTTCGTATTAAGCGGACTGCACAATTAGTATGAAATCTGAGTTTTTCATTTTTCAACATAGAATATATACTTCTCTCTTCTGCACTTTATTTTGCTTTTGTTGAAACTTATGAGTCTAGTTCAAGTTCCTTCAAGCTTGCAACTGAAATTATTCATGTCCTTCCCTCGGCTCTTGGAATGCTTTCATTATTCTATTTTCACTACAATGAGTTGCCCCTATTGTATATTCTGACACCTGTTTGTTTTCTTTTGGATGATTTACATGCATACCCCTTAATTCCTATGTATTTATATGTCTAACATCTAAACTGTAGTTTTTACATATATGTCGTATTACCTGTGCATGAAAATGTGTATTTCACCTGTCAAAGTTAAATTAGTGGTTTTTTTTGTTTTTGTTTTTGTGATATGAATGATTTGGATGGTATGAATATCAGAAATAAGGTTTAGGTGTTAGATATGTAAATACGTAGGAGTTAGGTGGTATGTATGTAAATGCATCTTTTCTTTTCCATTATTTTTTCTCTTTAGGTTTTTTTATTTGTAGTTCTTTATTGTCATCTTGAATTATTATGTTTTGTCTATTTAACTGTTTTTGTTCACTTAGTGCAACTTCTTTTTTAACAACATTCTCCCAACATTTTCACATTTTACTGTTTTGTCAACTCCATTAATAAGTAGAAACATTCACTTATATATATAGAGTGAATGTATGTATGTATGTTCTTTCTCGGGACAAGTTTTACAAAGCAGATTTTAGATGATAATTACACTACCATTGAGGTTGTGAGAAAATGAACAAGATGATGGATGGCACAATTCCTAATCCAATCTATGTTTAGAACAATGTTTTATGGAATTTGGTGGTATGTTTGGCACAATTTCTAATCCAATCTATGTTTAGAACAAAGTTTTTACTATTGATGGATTGATGGATGGATGGATTTTACTTTTATAACACTTTGGTGTCTTAAACCTATCCATGAAATTGTGTATTTCAGTTTTAAAAAGTTAGTAATAGTGGTATTTTTGATGTCATATTAAAGATTTGAGTTTTATGAATGTAAATATCAAACTTTATATGTTAGATATGTAAATGATAGGAATTGTGTGGTATGTATGTAAATGCCCAAATTAATAATGTTGAGGGCTTGCATGGTTAAAGCAGGATATTTTCCCTTCAGGATGCTTTCTGCAAAAAATCTGGATTTTTGCCCACGCAACATCAAATTCTTTCTTATTTATAAAATCGATACCTGTCATTCTTTCTTAAACTATGGAATCTGCATTAGCAGTTCACACCATGATCAAACTGTTGGTTATTTGATAAAAATAAAATGGTCATTTACATACAATGCGCATAGTTCTTATGTATTTACATATCTCACATTTAAACTTACATATTTACACACAGGACACTCAAATCTTTAATATCACTTCAAAAATAGCATTATTATCACTTTTTAAAAGTGAAATACATCTTTTCATGTGTAGGTTTAAAACACCAAAGTACTATGTACGTAAATATGAAAGTTTAGGTGTGAGATATATAAATACATAAGATTGGTGTGTTGGGTATGTAAGTTTCACAGCAAACAAATACAGGTTGGGATTTTGTTCTGAATTTTGCGATATTTAGGTGACAATTTAAGATGACTGTAGCGTGGGGCTAGTTTTTATGAATAGTTATGTTTGACTGTTATGCATGAAATTGCCTTCATTATAAATATAACCTTTTATTCTCTTAAACAGGCAAATGCAGCAAGGATGACAGCTGCTGCAAAAAATTCTCCCAAAGCTCCAACATCTCACAGAAGAGTGATTTCTAGTTGCAGTCTGAGGAATTCTAATTACTTGAACAAACGTCATAATCTCCCTAAAGCTTCTGCAGCACAGAGGCTGCACCCGGGAATGTCGTCCACTCTTAATCGAGCAACTGCCCATTATGGCGCTGTGACGGGATTAGAAGCGACGAAGGATGGAATTTATCTGCTAAGCTCAGGTCAGTTTGTGCCTTAGATGTTTGGGAGATTTACATGTAGAACACTCAATTCCTGTGTATTTATATATCTAGCACCAAAACTTCAATTTATGTATATATATATATATATACCACCTTACATTTGCATGAATATGTGTATTTTAGTTTTTAAAAGTTAAAATGGTGGTGTTTTTTATTTGATATGAAAGATTTGCGTGGTATAAATGTAAACAAAATGAATTTTAGTTGTTATATATGTAAATACATAGAAATTGGGTGTTTTGTATGAAATTGCCCCAACATGTTTTCATGTATCTCATTCCTTTTTTCCTGTTATATTATTAGTTTTTAGTTGCATCTGTTTGAGCTCCCATTAAGTCAGATAGATGAAGGTAGCGCTTAACTTATAGATTTGATAAAAAGTAATTGTATTTAAAGTGGTGCAATGAAAGTTGTTCAAGTAAAAGTCGGAAATTTTTTTCTTAAATAAAACAATAAATATTTTACTTTTTAATTTTTACCTATTTAAAAAACACCAAGGGATTTTTACAAATGAGCAAAAGCCCAGAATAGTGTCCGGACTTTTAATAAGTGAGCAATTTAGTCCGAAGTCTTACAGTGCTCCATATTAGTCCTAGTCTACTAAACATTGATCTGAATTAGTCCATAGGCCAAATTTCATTGTTGAAGTTAACATCAGCCATTAACTTTAAAGGGTATTTCAAGAATAAAATTTTAAATAAATTTTATTTTAGTAGTATTCTATTTTTATATTGATACCGTAGTTAACCCAAATTACGACACAAAAGACACAATTTTATTGTTGTTTTCAAAAGAGGGTACACGAGTGACACTACGACGACACTAACACTATACATATAAAGATGATGTGAACTGTAGAAAATACAAACAACGTAAATAAATAGCAGAAGGCAATTATAGCCCTCTCGAGTGGGCGCGATAGCTCCGACGAGTGGAAGATGCCGCGGGAGTGAAGTCGGTGGCCAACGAGTTTGCTGGAAACACTGATTAGCTGGGGGCGAATGGGAGTGGGGAGGGGGGGAGGGGCCCGACCGTGGTGCTGGACTGAGCTATGAATGATTGATGATGAACTTGGGGGTGTAGCAGGGGCCCGTCTGTGGCGTTGGGAGGACCCACAAACTGCTGGGAGGTAGTAGCGACCTGTCTGTGGAGTTGGGAGGACCCACGGATGGCTGGGAGCTAGTAGCGACCTGTCTATGGTGTTGGTAAGACTTGCGAATGGCTGAGAGGTGAATAGAGAAGGGATTGCGGCCTGTTTGTGTTGTTGGTGGGAGCTGCAGTCAGCTGAAGCGAGTAAGGGGCGAGACCATCAACCTTTGTGTGCGGCTGACTGACAAGGCAAGAACGGAGGGGAGATACATACTGCCTTGGGCGAGTTATAGTTGTAGCACCGCTCTCCATCGGATATAACCCTCAAAGAGGGAACACCTGGAAGGCACACTTGAAAACAGAAATCAACAAAAATAGATTAAATCTAAGAAAAACACCATGTATAAATAGGGGAAGACTAGTAGCTAGCATCTGCAAGATCTAGGAAAGGAAGGGGGATGAAAGTGGAAGGGATTGAAGAGGGATTGCAACGATTAGGAGAAGAGAGGGGCGGCAGATATGCAAAGAGTTCGACAGAGGGGCAAGTCTTATGCTTAGAATAGGATATGAGTGATATGGTGAATAAATTAGTGATAGTCAAGTTGAGCAAGGTAAAAATGAGGATTTGAGGTGGATATATTTGTAAATCTTGGAAGTATGGAATGAGAAATTTCTATACAGGAGAAGTGATGATGATAGTATCTATTGATAATAAGATTGTGAACGAAACACTGGTGAATTGAACGTGTATTGAAAGCTATAGAAGATGCGCCTATAAAATTAATAAAATAGGCAAAGGAAGATTTACATACGTGCCACTCAATTCTTATGTTAATAGGCAAAGGAAGATTTACATATGTGCCACTCAATTCTTATGTATTTACATATGCAACCCCTAAACTTCAATTTATGCATGCATGCCCCCTTATTTACGCATGAAATGGTATATTTTACTACTTAAAAATTGAATGATGATATTTTTGATGTGATATGAAAGATTTAGGTGGTGTAAATATAAAAAGTAAAATATAGGTGTTAGACATATAAATATATAGGAATTAGGTGGCATGCATGCAAATGCCCCATATAGACAAAATTCATGTGGAAGAATTAAAAGCTAAAGGGTTTCACTGAGGTAACATAACCGAAAATTTTGAAGGGTGATTTGCATAAAGTGAAGTTATCACCTCGTGTAGCTGTCCATAGGAATGATTGGATAACAAAAATGATTTTGAATAAATAATTAGGATAAGACTAAATTGATGATGTTTGATATGCTCAAAATCATCATCATCCTTTCTCAACTGTTCTGGAGTGATTGACTGATTTCAACCAATATGAAGAAAAAGTTATTTAAGTCCCTAAAATTTAAGAAAATTGCTAAATTATCCATGTAATTTTGTCGATGTAAAAAGGGTAGGCTGCATTGTCCAACTGGTAAACAAGTTCAATTTGTTCAGTAAATAATAGTAAATATTACACTAATGATCATGTGAAAGCTATAAATGCTTGAAAGTCTTGCAAATATCTGAATTTAAAAAATAAAAAAAAAACTTTATAAATTATGAAAAGATTATACGCAGCTAGTAGATATATGTTAAATTGCTCATAAAGAGTTTAGTGTGTCGCATAAGCTGTAATTATCCAGATGTATGGAACTGTATAATATGCGGGATCTAGGGTGTGCTGAATGTTTAGCTCACCTCTGCATTACAACAAAAAAGGGAGCATTTACATGTGCACCACCCAATTCTTATGTATTTGCATTTCAGACATCTAAAACTTCACTTGTTTACAATTTACACCACCCAAAATTTTCATATCATATCAAAAATAACACCATTTTAACTTTTAGAATGTACAATACATCTTTTCATGCATAGGTAAGGAGGTAAAAATAATTCACAATAGAAATAATCTAATCATATATCTGCATCGTAGATGCAATTATGAAATCAGAAATATATTTGTCTGTCTATTTTCCGCTCGAAAAGGACGAATCATTCCGATTTTTAGTTTGTATCGCTACGGAGAGGCAAACTATGTTCCAAAATATTTTGATAAATGAATTGCATATGAATAACAAACATGTTTATGCACACTCAGCTGTTAAAATATTTTGGCATAAATACAATGCACAACACTCGAAATATTGTTATTTATAAAACTAGCGCACGTGATTTTTTAGAACTATCAAACTAATGAATTTATGTGTTCTACAATCAAATCATCAAGAATTTAATAAGAATGAAAAATATGGGTGGAGGTTTTATCGTGAATTTTTATATTTGAGTGAGGATTTGAAAAAATGACTGAAATAGGATGCAAGATTTGTAAATAGCATGTTTAAAATGCTTGGGGTGCTAAATATTTTTTATGTCAAATATCAGGATCAGATTCAAGGCTGCGGTTATGGGATGTCGAATCTGGCTGCAACACATTGGTGAACTTTGAATCCATGAGGCTTCAGACAAGCAAACCCTTACAACTTGCTGTCACAAATGATTCATCTCTTGTGTTTGTTCCATGCATGAGTTCTGTCAAGGTGCTGCCTTATCCCTTGCCAAAATACATTTCGGGCATTTACATACATAACCACACAATTCTCATATATATATATATATATATCTGTGTGTGTGTGTGTGTCATCTAAATTTTGATATTTACATGCATACCATTATTACTAACTTTTTAAAAGTGAAATACATTTGTTATGTTTAATATTTTAACGAGTAAAGTTTAAAATCGCTTAAGCATTTACATGTGGTCATTTTCGTCCCAGAGTCTATAGAAGTGTCAAATTATTCCCCGACACTTTAAATTGGGATAAAAAGGGTCCCTCGTGATTTCTATCCATATTAAAAGTCTGGACAGTTTTATAGATTTTGGGATTAAAATGACCTTCTACAAAGAGTCAGGGGACTATTTTGACACTTCTTGATTTCTAACACTTCAGTGTTATAAATGTAAACATTAAAATTTTTGTGTTGGATATTTAAATACATAAGACTTGTGTGGTATATTTGTAAATTTCCCAATATATTTTTTTATCTTTCTTAAACATACTTACTGGAATAATTTGATTATTGATGTATTTCTCTGTTTGATTTTGTAGGCATATCATGTTTGGTCGGGTGTTACTTTTCAGACATTGCGCGGCCATTACGAATCAGTAAACTGCTGCTATTTTAATTGGCATGATCAGGTATGCAGTGCTCTTTTTAAACAAGTCGACTCGGGCTTGGCTCTGTAGATGGCTCGAGAGCTGAGCTCGATGAGCTAACTAGCCAGACTCGTGAGCCGACTTGTTTAAAAAAATATTAATATAAATATCCTAAAAATATATTAAATGTCAAGGCTTCATCTTTAAATTATTAGAAATGCTCGATATTTTATATTTTATATCACGCGATGTCTCATTATGTCTCTTAATTACTCATTCTATTTATCATTTTATTATAAAAATAGCTTTAATTAATATTATTTTCTCTACTTAATTATAAATACGGCAGTTTAAAATCTTTGCACGAGCTCAAACTTAATTATTTAATCATGCTCAAACTCAAGCGAGGGTTTCTCGAGCTTGATTCGGATGCTTAAATACTATATTTTGAATTTCTGGCGGTTATGCAGGAAATATATACTGGCAGCAATGACAGGAAAATTCTGGTTTGGTCTCCATTGAGTCCGGCGGTCGCCGAAACGGTATGGATCCGTATCACCCTCCATCTATTTCTCATTTTTACATATCATAATTAAAAATATCTTTCTAACTAATAGGAATAGTAAATAAATTTAGAAAAGGGAAAATTTACATACATGTCACACAATTCTTATGTATTTACATATCTAACAGCTAAAGTTCAATATTTTGCCTCAGTAACCTCTTGGTCTCATAAATCTATGCATGAAAAGATGTATTTTACTTTTAGAAACATATTGATGGTGATATTTTGATTTGATATTTAAGATTTGGATGGTACGCATGTAAATATGAATGTTTAGGTGTTGGCTTTACAATTCTCAAAATTTAATTTAGGAAATGTTACTTATGTAAAGGTATAATAAAAATTATATAGAAAGAGCAACTTCTAATGTATTTACATATAAAAAAAGAAGGGCCTTTACATACATATTACACAATTCTAATGTATTTACATATACCAAATTTTAGGTATTAGATACATGTATACATGGAAGTCATATATTATTTTTAACTTTTTAAAATTGAATTAGCCATTTTTATGCATGAGTTTATGACACTAAAGTATTATCAGTGTAAATATCAAAATTTAGGTATTAGATACATGTATACATGGAAGTCATATGGTATTTATGTAAATTTTTCTGTAAAAATCAATCTAGAGTGTATCTTTATGCTGAACTCTCTCTCTCTCTCTCTCTCTCTCTCAAACTCTCGTGCTCTCTAGAGAGAGACTCTCTCTCTCTCTAGACAGAGAGAGTGAGAGCCAATTATTCTAAGCCATTACTGAAATATGGAAGTTGATTTCTGTTATATGTGCAGGAAGGTGACTGTAAAGGGGCAGACCGAGATAGCTGGAGTGACTGAAGAGCGAATTGTTTTTCTTCTTCCAAATGTATATATTTGTAAGGATTCCTTCCTGCCTGCTGAAAATTTAAGTTCATTGTTTAGGCATCTTAACAATATTTTAGGTTTATTATGTAAAAAATAATAATTTAATGCTAAATTTGGATTATAAAGTTAATAGTACTTTGTAGCTTTTATGAGATTAGAGAATATGTTGATTAATTAAAAGAAAATTAATGAGCTTAGTTGATATATTATATGGGCTTAAGTATTGGGTAATGAGAAAGTTGTGAGATAAAATCTTTATGATTTTTTCATCGGGAGTCCAGATGCAAGCTTCGTCCAGGCAACGACTGTGTTTCACTGGAGTTTTTTTTTTTTATTTTTATCTTCTCCGCTCTTTTAGATGGATCGGAACCATTGTCCAGATGTAGCTTGCATCCGGACTCGGGGCAGTAATATTTTTCAGGGGCTTTTAGATGCATACGACCCAATTATTATTATTTTACATATTTCTTGAACTTAACTATTTATATTTACTTGTATAATTGCATATCATTCAAATATTTAGCATCATATTAAAAATATTGGCATCATCATCTTTTTAAAATTGAAATACACCAATAAGGTTATAAGTGTAAATATCAAATTTTAGATACGTAAATACATAAAAAAAGTATGTATATTGATACTCCACCAATAAATTTTCATCATCCGACACGAATCTCGAGACGATATTTTAAACATGAAACATTCAATTCTTGATAAAAAGTCATCTAGAGCTCAAATTTTAGCAAGCTTATAGTCAGACTGACCGGCTTGATGAGACGAACCTAATGATATAAAAACTAGCTCAATCCGAGTCAAATTAAGCCTAGATCAAAATGTTGAAGCACGTTTAAATGATTTTCGGACACATTTGAAAGATCAATGGGTTGTCGAATATGACAAGTTTATACTCGAATCGAGCGGCTCGACAAGGCGAATTCAAGCGAATTCAACGAGCTTAAAATCACTCAATTCTGACATCATTAAGACTCAATGAGCTTAAAATCACTCAATTCTGACATCATTAAGACACCCAAATTTTCAGTCAACGTCGTATGATCAAGGGAAGCTCTCCGGATCATTCGATAAAAAATGATTCATATTCCTGCATTAATTGCACCCATAATACTATAAATAGTTCCATCTCTCTCGCTCTTTCCCGTATGTGGGATAAGGGATTTCTGTAATCATCAATCAATAGTAAATTTTCGCAACTGGGTTGGGCCCCTGGTTTTTCCCTCTACGGGATTTCTACGTAAAAACTTCTGGAGTAGTCACTGTTTTTTTCTTTTTCATCTGAGTGTGTGTAGAATTCTCTAAGACGATAATCTGCTACTCTACCGCTGCGAATTTTTTGCATCATATATGTATGTAAATTTAAAAAATAGAAAAATAAAAAAATTTGATTGTTGTCATGGCTTGAGCCGTTTATCATAGCTCAATTCTTATGTTTTAACATATTTAACCCCCCCGTAAATTTACTTTTTGCATTTATATACCCAAATTTTATGATAATATCAAAATATCACTTTTGATGCATAAAAAAATGGTGTGGTTATATATAATGAAATGTAGATGGCAGATATGTAAATATATTGGATTTGAGTGTTATGTTCTGTGTGTAAATCCTCCAAAAACTTAATGCTTCCTTGGTTTTCTAACAAACTAACACGTAATATTGCAACAATCTAATTAATTCTAAATGTAATGTTTTCCGTTTGATTTATTTTATTTATTGCCTTTATAAATTAGTATTTCAGGATAAAACTTTTCAGTAAACCTTTGAATATATATATATATATATATATATGTTTTTCTTGTTTATAATAAATATGTCAGCTCACGGCTAAAACTCGTAGAATTAAATTTGGTCTTCAGCTCGAACTCGATTAACTAACAAAATTTAAGTTGAAGTTGAACATGATCCGAACTCGGCTTGACACGTTCACACCTCTAATAAACAAGTTATGGATTATAGTGGTGTTCTCAATGCCAAATGGGTGGCTAGCAATGCCGAGCTTATAATTGTCACTCAATAGAATGTTGAGGTAAGGGGGGTCACACAATTTCACTAGACTCCAAATGCAATTAATAATTATTTTAACAAATTGTTGAGTTTGATGTTGTATATCAAAAATATCAAGACACAATTAGACAAAAGACAAAAATAGATTTGGAGATTTTTTTTCTTATGTGTCTCTGGTTTAATAAGATGTTTTCCTGAATAACTTCTGATATATGCAGCTCTGCAAACTTCTTACGTACGTAAATTTTGTGCTACACGTGCTGATTTGTATTAGATGTAAGGTTATGTTTATGCTTCACAACAGTTTACAGTTTTTATTTTACTTTTTCAAAGTTTATTTTTAAAAAATAGCCTAAAACTGTAAATGAGAAATATAATTTTTAATGATTAGGATAGCAAAAATAAATAAATAAATCGTGTATGCTCGGTCGTCTCGACAAGATGAATCCAACGATATCAAAATCATTTCAATCCAGGTACAATCAAGCCCAGATCAAATCATTAAAGCTCATGTAGAGACTTTGGATTGTTAATCAAATGTCAGATTAATTTCAATTTTAATATATTTATAGTTAAATCGAGCGTTTAGACAAGAGGAATCCAACGAACTTAAGATCCCTAATTAAGTGGTCATTAATGCCCTCAAGTTATTAAAAATCTTTATGATTATGGAGAATCAATACAGACTGTTCGAAGAGGTGGTTGGGGAAGTATATATATACAAAGTGAATTACATAGAGCCACACTACTATTGTACAACTATGATTATCAGCTTAACAATTTCATTTTCTTTAATTCAATAGAAAAGTGTACATATTTACTTAAAATTACATAGCGAATTATTTTGCCAGCTATACCTAATGGTTTTTTCTCTTGTAAGAGTTTTTCACGTAAAAATATCGATGTCTCCTTCATTTACTTCTCTTTTACCTGTGTGTATAAATAATCAATAAGAGCTATTTACATCTTTGGTGATATATATATATATATATATTATATATATATATTATATTATAAAGGAATGGTAGGATACTATTATAGGAGCCCCGGTCATTCTTTATGCATCTAAGAATTCGAGTACACACCATATATTAAACATGAGGAATGACCGGGGCTCATATAATAACATCCGACTATTCATTTATAATTTATATATATAAGGAATGACAAAAAACTATTATACGAGTCTCCAACCATTCATAATGTGTCCAACTCGAATACCATCTTCTTTAAAGCCAACTGTGTCAGAAGGGATTCGAACCCCCGACCTGAGGGGTTTTATACCTTGGATGCCAACCAACAAGCCGGGGGACGAGACATAGGTATTTAAATAAAATTTAAATATTGATTAAATAACTATTCAATCAAATTATAGGCAAACTACTTGTTAAATAATAGAATAATTATTCACATGCATGAGCAGACATGTAATTCATTAATCAAAATTATTCCCTTACATATCTAACCTTAAATTTTTTATTTAAATTTGACTAATCAACTAAAGAATATAGGGGATATATTTACAAATCTAACACATAAATTTTACCTTTTATATTTTTAACCTTATAGGGGTTTCACATCATATAAAAAAATATCATTATTATAACTTTTAAAATTACATAAGATGACATGTAAAAAATTAAAAATTAAGTGTTGGATATGTAAATACATAGGAATTAAGTGGTCTGTATGTAAATCTTACTTTAAGAAAATGGGAAATTTACAATTTACTCAGCATCAACAGTTCAACACATTATGATGGAAAAATATTACGTCAGAACTCCTAACGTAGAGTTATGTTTGGAGTCTACTCATATGCGGACACGTGAAGGTGATAGAAAAATAAAAAAAAAATTATTTTGGTGGAGAGGAATATTTCTCCTGTGTTATGCCACATTATTCAGGTGTTATTGTGGTAATATTCATATGTTATTGTGTTCTGAGAATATTCCCGGTATCATAATAACACAATAACACATCAATATCATCACAATAACATCTGAATAACGCAGAATAACACAAAAGGATTATTCTTCTATGTTATCGGGCCGGATCACAGGAAAACGCGCTCGTTTTCTTGAAGCCACGTGTCCGCACATGAGTGGACTCCGAACGTAACTCTACGTTTGGAGTCCTAATGTAATATTTTTCTCATTATGATTAATTAAAAAGGGCAATTACATAAAGAACACTCGGAACTTGTTATTTACAAATCCACCACCCTCTTTCATCCATTTTTCAAAATTCTCACCCAAATATCAAAATTCACGATAAAACCCCAACCCATATTTTTCATTTTTTTATCAAATTCTCAATAATTCGATCATGACACGTGTAAATACATCAGTTCGGTAGTTAAAAAAAACCACCTCGGTGCTTAATTTTTAATTTATGCATGAAAATATGTGTTCGACATGTCAATGATTTGAGCCTTACGTATGTAAATATAAAAGTTTAGGCATCAATACGTAAATACATAAAAATTGCATGGTATCTATGTAAATATACAAAAAATAAAAAAATTAAAAAATATATATATTTTTTATGGTGTGCGTTAGTTCACTGAACCTAACACTATAAAAATATAGGAATGAAAAGCAAAAAAAGCATGAGCGAAAATGAAATGAAATAAAAATAAAACGTTTACACAAACACTTTTGAAAATTAGGCCGACTAAGTTGACCAAAATGCCCGTCAAAAGTCTTCAAATTACGTGCGTGCATGGCTTGCGTGTTCGCGTGTCGACAGATCCAAACGAGAAGGATTAAAAAGACATTTTAAATGGGTTTCTTGGAAGAGTTGAGGGGAGATCACAAGTAACGTAGCCCTTTCCTAATTGGGAGAGTAAGACTTAAGCAACAAGGAAACATATGGTTGTTGGGTTCCAATAGCTGTGCTAATAATATTATTATTTATTTATGTATTATTATTATTATTGGTCATCCCATAACATATTTTTTTTTCTTTATGAAGAGATTTGATGGTTGACTTTGACTTATAATGCTTGATAAATTAAGGTTGAGAGATGCTAGATGTGATCGTGTGCGCGCTGGCTATGGGTATGACTGAGTTGAGCTGACTCCTGAATCGGATTGGGGTTGGCTTTATAAGGGGCTCGTGAGCTGAGCTTGATTGGTTGATGATGAGCTAGGTTTAAGAAGGTCCTGACTCGACTCATTAGCTCGCTCGTGAGCGAGCTGGTTTTAAGAAATATTAAAATAAAATGTACTGTAAATAAAAATATTTAATTTTATATTTGATGATTTCTATTTTTTTAAAAGAAGTTGAGCTTAACAGAGTAATATGTGTGATTCAGACACACGGCCTCATGGTGGGAAGCTACGCCTGAATCTCACTAATGTCGTAAGCAGTGTGTTGATTTCTTATTATTTATCTTCTAATTGTACATTTTATTATAACAAAAACTTAAATTAATTAAAATTGTCTTATGTCTTCCATAAAGAAACAAGTTGGCTAGAGAGGGGGCTAGAATGTGTAGAATTAAGCTCGAGCTCAATTAATTAATCATGTTGTTGAATCCGAGTTTGTTCGTGGAACACGCTAAGAGAATAGAACGTAAATAAAGAAAAAGAAAGAGAGAGGGAGAAAAAAAACGAATAGTGTTCATTCTTTGTAAAATATTTTTTACAATATATAAAAGAGTTAGCACAATAATGATGTTATATTCTTACCCCCATTTGAAAAGGGCATGCACTAGACAATTTCTGGAATTTTACAAGCATAGACTTTTTGTCTGAGTGCATTCTAGCTATGTCAGCTAAGTTTTTTTTCTTAACTCGGATTGATAGGATCGACTTGATCGGCTGAGCTTGGTTGACTAATCAGGCTTGGTTGGTTATCTTCAATTCTTAGTGAGGAGTCTTCAGATCTCCTCGGAATGGTTAGAGATACTTTGTGAAATTAGATCTCCCATTGGGCCTACTCCACTGTGGGATAAACTATTGCATTGAGTCGGCTTCCCTGCAGCGCATGGCTCAGAGGTTTTCTTGTCCTGTTTCTGGTCGAATGGCTCACACTCGGATCATCCGGTCATCTTCTTATCCCCCTTTCTGTTCCCTTGTTTTTGGCCTAGTTGACTTGGCTTGTTTAGTCTGGCGGGCCTCATGCTCTTCTTGTAATGAATCTGCCTTCATCATACTCTTTTCTTCTAGACAGTTAACGGATCTCTTTAAAATCAGAACAAAAACTTCTTTGATGCACACACATACTCAAACTCAAATCAACGATGGCTCGAACTTAGCTCGACGTATTTACACTCATATGCTTCTCTAGAAACACAAAAACCCAAATCAATAATATATGTAAAGAGTCCCTTGGACTGAAAAATCCACAAAGAATGTGATGTGAGGTAATATCCATGTGCTTATATACTAGATAGTCAACCATTATTTGGAGTAGAGAATTAAGGTCAAGTATGTGTCAAGGGGGAAGAATTACAACGTGTGAATGACTCATCACCTTGCTAGTAGAGAGAAGCCAAAAGTTAGTTCTGTTGGATTAATTTTGGGACTACAATGTAATTAATAAATGTGTTGGGTCATCATTAAATAAGTCAAAATTATTGTGGTCTAATTTAGAATTAAGTTCATGACTTTGGGCACATTTGTCATGATATTATAGTGTGGATACCATAAGTGCAAATTCTAATTTGATGAGGGGCAGAATTAGAATTAAGCAAAACTTTTTTGTAACCGCCTGGTAGTTATTGTAACCGCCTGGTAGTTACTTCAAAGGGTGATGGTCCCCAATTTGCAGATAAATACATCCCTTTCTTGCACCCCATCAACAAGAAAACTAAGGAAAATTTGGAAATTTGAAAAATCTGCAGATTGGAAGATCATATCTTGCGCAATCGATCTAATGGATTCTGGTACGCTTCCGCTAATCTATGGTTTATTTCTCTCGAAATCGAATGTGAATTTTTTTTTAAGTTCTAACAAGTTCATCAATCATGAACTTCTAAATATGAATCATATCCAATTTTGATACAACAACTCCTTCAACTAAACCAAAAATAACTTAATTAGGAGGATTTGCATTACATGTCACACCATTAATTCCTATGTATTTACATATTTAACAATCAAAATTTATTTTTTTATATCATCACTACTTTACCAAGCTTTAAAGAGCACCAAAGTGATATTTTTGATGCAAATTGAAATTATTTGAGTGTTATGAATGTAAGAAATTGAAGTTAATTGTGCGTTATGTTTGTAAATGGCCCATATGCCTATATAGTGATTCTCAAATTCTCTTCTCCCCATGAATATAAAAGAGTCCAAATTGGACTTTGGTAACCTCAAAATCCACAATAAGGGGGTGTATTGATGCCCATAAAATTTAGATTAAATAGGATTTAGTAAATTCGATAATTTTTTATTTGTCAAATCTAAATGTTGTAAATGTAGAATAATAATTTGGTTCAATTTAATGTTGAATCCATTAAATCTGGCATAAATCCACTCTCCTGACTTATGGTCTGTTTGGGGCAGCGATGCGGCAGTGCATCGTAGTTTTGTTTGTTTGAGTAAATGACGTTTTGGCTTCTTTCCACCACTCATGACTAGGTTCTGTGGCAGCTTTTTCATTCTAGTTGTGGTTTAAATTTTAAAAAAAATTATTATAAACGCCGCGATTTTTTTAGCATCAGATTATTATTCAGCACAGTTGTTTTTTAATAAGCTACAGTTGCCCCCAAATAGTCCCTTAATTTCTTTTCAAGTTAAATCCGTTAAATTCACGTAATAATCAGATTTAATAAATCCAAATTTATCTTTAAAAAAATAACGGAAGGAAAGAAAAATTACATCTAGCGGATTAAGAATTTAATCTGTCCAATTTTATTGTTCGACCGAATTTATGTTAAATATATTAAGTAAATCATGCTAGAATTAAAAAAAAAAAATTTAAAAAAAATAGTTTTTTCTATTTTCTTCCTGAACCAAAATAAATAAAATAATAAATTTAAAAGTCAAAATACTCTTCAACACATATAACATGAAGTGAAATCCTAAAGAAGTAAAAATAAAATAAAATACAAAATATATACATTAAAAATATAAATTAATTGATTGACTTCACACCAAGTTAAAATAAAAAATACTAATAATTTAAAAAAAATAAAAAAACAAAAAACTGCTTGCAGGCGACCAACCAATATACCACCAGCTAAGCTCCCAATTCCCATCCATCTTAATACAAATATTTATTGCCATCATTTCCCAATATAAAATTATACATATAACCCCATTAATTTACATTCTTATCCCCAAACATCTCTCTAAATAACTCCACCTAAACGCTTTGAGATTCGCAAAAACCTCATAATTATAAATATTTATATGTCTGCTGTCTTAGCGTTCCAATGGAACATACGAAGCTGATCACCAACCCCTCTTTATTCAAACCAACCAAATAGAGCCATATAATTACTATATATTTGAAATTATAAATAAATATTTATTATATATAGGGAAGCATAGTAGTCATGAAGAAGTACGAGCTATATTGATCTCCCTCTCTCTCTATCTCTATCTCTCTCTCTCTTTCTCTCTCTAGTTTCAGCTTTTTGAAGCTGTTTGATTCTGAGTTTCAGGCCATGGAATCAGCTGGAAATATAGCTGAGTTCTTGAGGGAGAAGAGTGTTTTGGTTACTGGTTCAACTGGCTTTTTGGCTAAGAGTAAGTTTTTTTTTTTTTTTAATTTTTTATTAGAAAAAGAGGGGTTTTTATGCAATTTTTGTGATGATTTTGTAATTAATTATGTATTTTGGGTGGATTTTGGAAGTTTTTGTGGAGAAGGTGCTGAGGGTGCAGCCCTCTGTGAAGAAGCTGTTTCTGCTTGTGAGAGCTTCTGATGGATGTTCAGTTGAAGAGAGGTTTCAAAATGAGGTATAAAAGCTCTACTATATATATATATGCAAAATTTGTAGGGATAATTGTAGAGATAGCCATAGAAACATTGATATTTACAGACATAGAAACATTGTTATTTACAGATTGTAGCACTCATGTGATATTTCAAAACTGTTGAACCAAAGTATGTACGTGTGTCGTGATTTGAGAGTTCGATAAAAAAAAGGAAAAATATGGGTTGGGGTTTTATTAAGAATATTGATATTTGAAAGAGAATTTGAAAAAATAGATGAACGAGAGGGTTAGATTAGTAAATAGAAATTTTTTGGGGGTTGTGGATGTGATCCAGCCAAATTTTTTATTTACATGAGTGCAATTTTTTAGATTTTGTGATGTTGAGTTAAATGGTTCAAATTAAAGAGAAATTATTAGGTACAAATATAGGCAGAATCAACCTCTCTTTTAATAGCAGGTGTGAATACCACCCCCTGAATGTCTAACCCTAGAAAAACACTCAATTTTTTTTTAGTTATTAACAAAAAAAATAATTACTATAATATCCCTTAAAATTTTAAGAAAAATCATATAATATTAAATAAATAGGTAAATTTTAGGGTTAGGAGAAGAACATCAGTCCGCACTTGAGCACGAACGATGAACTCAAAATTATGTTTATCGCCCAAAAAATTTTCATATTCGAGCTTAAATCAGCTCATCTCTACTAAATATCACGAATTTTTCAGTCGAAAATCTTCATTTTAATTCTCATTTTTCTCGGTGGTGTCCTACTGATTAAAAAATATTGCATTTGGAGTCCGGGCGTAAGCAGCATCTAGAAAACAGGCGTGATTCATCGGAGGAGCCGAAGGGCAAAAATCCTTGCCCGACGGTGTATTGCGTCCGGACTCAATACGTAATATTTTCTCCCTATTGAGAGTCATATAATGATATAAAAGATTTATATCATGTTTAATTCTATAAAAAGTATTACGTTGACTGTCGACTACCTAACACAACCCTTCATCTTTTACATCTGAGGCTTCAAACCTGAAAGTTTTTAATTTGTTGTGATTAGGTGATTGGAAAGGAATTGTTTGATGTTCTGAGAGAGAAACATGGGAAGGACTTTGATTCATTTATATCAGACAAAGTCTCAGCTGTTGCTGGAGATATATCTTATGAAAACTTAGGAATCAAAGATTATGGGGTCAGGGAACAGCTGTGGAAGGAGGTTGACATTGTTGTTAATGTGGCTGCAACCACCAACTTTTATGAGAGGTACATGAGAATTTCAAATTTATATATATAGACATGTTGGACAAATATTTCTTGAATATGCAATTATTAATTTGTTTTTTCTGTAAATTTTATTTGATTTGCAGATATGATGTGGCTTTGGGCATCAATGTAATGGGGGCTAAGAATGTGTTGGAGTTTGCAAAACAGTGCAGGAAAATTAAGATGCTTCTGCATGTTTCAACTGGTGAGTTATACAACAACAACAAAGCCTTAATCCCACTACGTGGGGTCGGCTACATGAATCCTTTTTCTCCATTGCGTCCTATTTAGTGTCATATTTTCATTTAGTTCTAGTAAATTAAGATCATTTTAATACAATAAGCCCAAGTCTTCCTAGGTCTACCTCTGCCTTTCTTAACACAAGTCGAATTTAAAACATCTACTCTCCTAATCGGATCATCTGATGGTCGACGTTTAATATGACCAAACCATCTAAGGCGACTTTCTCTAATTTTGTCTGTCACAGGAGCTACACCAACCCTATCACGAATATATTCATTCCGCATTTTGTCTCTAAGTGTAAAGCCACTCATCCACCTAATCATTCTCATCTCGGCAACACTTAACTTATTATTATGCTTCTCTTTTAAAGGCCAACATTCAGCCCCATAGAGCATTGCAGGTCTCACCACCATCTTATAAAATTTTCCTTTCAGTCTTAGCGGTACTTTTCTATCACACAAAAGGCCCGAAGCATTCCTCCACTTCAACCAACCAACTTGAATTCTACTATTAACATCCCCA